GTGCCATATTAAGTTTTTTTTTTTTTTTTTTTTTTTTGTAGTTGTACGTCACTTACCATAACCTTGTTTCTGGAAATGTTGTAAAAGGCTAGGATTATATACAAACATTTTTTAAATATTTCAAAAATTACTAAGTAGTTATTTTTGATATTTATGTTAATATAAAATAGTTCCTAAATTATATATTTATTATTTTATTTAACAAAGTCATACAAAATAGTTTTAACATATCCTCCTTATTAATTAATATTACCAAGTTGTCTAACTTCAATTCTCGACATCTGTCTGTTCTTGTAACGTTGTTGCAGCAGCCCTCTTCTGTCTCCTCGATCCATTCGTCATCAGATGATAGTTCAATAATATTTGTTGTGCTTTCTTTGATTGTCTTTCCTTCGCTTTTATTACTGTTTTAAGGCTGTTGTTGAATAGCATTTTCTCCTTTTGGATTATCCATTTCAGTTCCGTCATCGTTAGCCCCGTCGTGGCTTGTTCCTAGTTGATCAATATTAATGTTTCTTCGTAACATTTCGAAATTTCGTTCTGTATTTTCTCGTATATTTGGTGATTCTCCAAATTCGTTATTCTCAACTGTCTCATTGCGGCTGTCTGTGCCGTTGTAGCTTCGTCCGGTGATTGTGTAGTATTCGTTTGTGAGCTCTTTAAATTCCAGTTCGTTGTGGCCTTGTTGTAATCGATGCTTGATGTAACTAAGTTTTTGCTTGGTTTCAGGGGATTCGATATTGAATTCCTGTCTAAGAGCTCTTTCTTTACCTCGGCTTGATTTTCTTTTTGTGGTCCGTAGGTTTGGCATTTTAAATCCCTATAGATGTTGTTTGCGTATGAAGGATCTTGACAAAACGAAGAATATTCCATGGTTGTTAAATTACTTGTTAAATTGTTTATATCTTCGCAGTTCGTTGTTGAATTCATTACTGATTATTATTTTAATGTTGTCTATTTATGATAGTTAATGATTGACGTTGGCATGGTGAATAATAGAGAAAAAAACAAAAAGATTATCTGCAAATAATAAGGTGTTAATTCTATTGTTTAAAGTGACAGTAATACTTAACATTTATAAATTCTTCTCCAGCCAATCATCCCGACCAACCCATGACACCCCCCCACTCCGCCCATCATGAGATCTCATAGCGGGCGGGGTGGGGTGTGTCATGGGTTGGTCGGGATGGTTGGTTGGAAAAGAGTTTATAAATTTTTCGTATTACTGTCACTTTAAACAATAGAATAAATACCTTATTATTTGCGGATAATCTTTTTGTTATTTTCTCTATTATCTTTATTAAATTGAATTACAAAAAACGAGGACTTATCCTTTGCGGACCATCACACTCAGGTAAAACTTTTTTAGCTAATCTGCTATATTCTTCTTTCAAACCACACGAAATTGGCTGTTTCAACTGCCCAACTGGACCGAATCCTTCATCCTTCTTATTACAGGCACTTAGTAACCGTTTAGCCTATCGCTAACCATGAACTCTACATTTAAATACGATATTTTAAAATAGCATTCATCTGAGTATCAAGCATTTGAGAATCGATGTACTATACTCTTCCTAGGTACGCCTCTACTAAACATATTAACCAACAATGAACTACAAGAATTAAATACCTGTGGCTCAGAGTTGTTATAAATGTTAAGCATGCATAAACAGGACAAAGAACCTACTGAATACAACGTTTTGGATAAATTAAAGACTTTATATGTTTATAGCTTTTTTTTAAATAAACTATTTACGATACTTTCTGTCTCTTTTCTGCGGGCTCTTCGCTATCGTTAAGTTCAACTTTACCAACAAACATAGTAGAAAAGGCAGGATAATATATCTTCTGATAACTATTTACAAGTGTA